TAAAGTAAATTAGCTTAGCTATATCTTTATTCTTCTTTAGAAAATTAATATATTATTTACAAGAAATTGTAAATTATACAGTATATTTATATAAAATAAAAGAATAAGAAAAAGACCTCTTTTACAAAAAAAAAAAAAAAAATCTTCTGCTTTTAAATTTAATATACTAATCTAGGCTCCAATAGGGCACAGATTAGTATATTAAATTTAAAGCAATTTTTCTTTATAATAGTATTAATATAATATTTTATTATTTAAATTTAATATGCTAATCTAAGTCCCAATAGGGTCCAGGTTAGCATATTAAATTTAAAGTATTTTTTTTATACAGTATAAAAAAATGTATTATAAATATTTAATTATATTTAGCTAATAAATATCAATTATATATTAAAATAATATAAAAAATAATTATTATATTTAATAATGTTAAAGCACCGGGTTAAAAACTAGTTTAATATATATATAGTATATTTAAAAATTATAGAGTTATTGGATGCTTCGCGTCTGTAGAATCGCATGATAATCATTTCCAGAAAAATAATTGGCTGTATTTTTAATCTACCAGCTCTGGGTCCCTAATGCCAACAAAGCACCAATAACTTTTGTATTTGGCAGTAAAATTTAATATTCCAGCTTCTGGGTCCCTTTCAATAACGGTATTATCCGGTATCCTACGACGATAGGGCATACAAAAGGACTTGTTTATCTTGTACGTATGCCCGATCATAATACCAGGAATAGTAAATAACTTGAAATGACCCCAATAACCCAAATAATTAGTGACCAGTCATTTAATATTTTGTTAACTAATAATCTAGCGCCTTTAGCAAATCAAATTTCGATACGTAATCGTACGTAACTACATATAAAAGTCAAAATTTAGATATTTCAGTCGATCTTAAGTTGTTGTTCTAAACAACTTTACTAAAGATGTAAATATTTGATTAACCTAGTAAAATTTTGACTTTGTGTATCCAATATATTTTTTTAATACTGTAGTTACTAGTAAAATTTAGGATTAAAGTGTTGCTATAAGTTTAGAATTAAATACAATATTAAAATTTAATTAATATATTTTTACTTGGAATACTGTATCTGGCATTAATTATTAAAATGTATCATTAGAAGAAAAATTTAAAAAGATGCATATTTTTCATTTATATTTGTAATAGACGTCTAGTTATTTAAAAAAAAAACACACATTTGGCTATTGTAAATTTTGATCCAGGTCTAGACGTGGAGGATCTGATATCTGGAAGGGTCTTGTATACGGCAGTTTACAGTGGCGTTAAACACCACTAGAGTACATTGTAATTAAAAAAATTATATACGTAGTATATATATACATTTTTATATTTTAATTATACAGTACAAGTGCAAATGGAATCATAATAGGTTCGGAATCCACTTAGCTTAGAACAGGGAATAATTATACTAAAAATCCCAACACCTAACCTTAAAAAATCCGATTCAACTTAAATTCTGTTCCCACTTACGACACTTTTATATAAAAATAAGCTATCTCTACATTTCTGCATTTTTTTTGCGTTTAAATCGTTCAAAAAGAAAAATACAATATGCATTGCATCAATAATAAAAATTATATGTATTAGTTATAAAAATCTGTATTTTAAAACGCCAAACACTAATTTGAAAATTTTGGTCGTATACGTATACTAGATTAAAGATACAGTATATAGAGACTATTATGGCTTATGCCGAAACTAGAATAGTTACGGCATAAGCCCGTAACAATTTCTGCGGCAACTCCTTTAGATTATGATATCATTGAATTTGTTCTTACCGTATTTATCAAAGTAATTTCACAATATCGATATATTGCATTTCGCTTGACATTGTATAAATTAGAACTGTTAAATTATACGCTAAGGTTGCATCTAAATCTAAACCTAGTGACGTGACGTCTTTTTTTTTTGAATACTAAGTTCGTGTTTGTTAATACCCCAAATAGGTTCAGACCGTCGTTCTCCCAAGTTTTTCGCACTTTCATGCACTTTCATGGTTTGATTGGTTGATCACAGGATTATCGCATGATCTGCCTCGCTTTAAGAAATCCCTATTGAGGAAAATGATCAAACGGTTATATCAATATGTGCCTTAAAACGTTATAAAGAAGTTTGTTTATTTGTATGTTATTAATAAATTAAAATATGAATCAAAGCCGAATAAATTTCACAATATGGAGGCTAAAGAGAACGTTTCGAGATATACAGAAAAATTATAACCGTTACACAGTTACACACACTATTTTTAGAAATTCAACTAGACTTTTTACGTAGTCACTTGCTTTTAGCAATATTCTTATCCTTTTCAAAGTTGGAATTTATATATATAAATTATAATTATAAATTCTTTTCTCGTTTGCGATTTTCTAACAAACATCGGCAGTGGCATACAAGGAGAATAGAGACTTCTGCACGTTACTAGCTACTATTCTGTCTTTTATTTGCTTCTTCTTTTCCCATTAGGAAGATATTTTAATTGTAAATTAGATCACTTTTCACATTACAATATGGGAGCTTATGTATCAAGGGCTCTTTCAAAGATCTTTGGTAACAAAGAAATGCGCATCCTAATGTTAGGATTAGACGCAGCTGGTAAAACAAGTATCCTTTTGTCGGTTTGAGATTTAACAAGATTCTAACGACTGTTTAAAATTAAATAATGTAGACATGAACTACTATATATATTTTTTTCCTGTTCCGCATCGAAAAATAATTCTATCTATTTCAATCCTTAATTCAATTTGATTTAATCAATAGCTATTTTATACAAACTAAAACTTAATCAATCTGTGACGACGATTCCTACTGTCGGTTTCAATGTGGAAACAGTGACTTATAAAAATGTTAAATTCAACGTTTGGGTAAGTTTTCTATTGAAATAATCAAATTAATCATTTAAATATGTAATAAAGTAATTTTTGAATTAATCAATTAGGATGTTGGTGGGCAAGATAAAATTCGTCCACTTTGGCGTCATTACTATACGGGTACTCAGGGACTTATATTTGTGATTGATTCACAAGATCGTGACAGAATAGATGAGGCACGTCAAGAATTACATCGAATTATTTCAGACCGTGAAATGAGAGATTGTTTACTATTAATATTTGCTAATAAACAAGATTTACCAGGCGGTATGTTCTGTTTAACTATTAATTTATTATCTATTCATTATATATGGTCAACTCTATAATTAGCTGTTGTTGGTAGAGAAGTAAATTTGTTAATCAAATTAACAAATTAATAATTACAATGTTTCCTATACCGAATTACTGAGATTCAAAATTTACGGATTTATTTGGGGTCGACTATATATATATATATATATATATCATTTTCTATTTTATTTATACTACTCTCGTTAAATAGCAATGTCGCCTGCAGAAGTAACCGAAAAACTTAACTTACATCATATGCGTGATCGAGCTTGGTATGTTCATCCTTCTTGCGCTACTACTGGAGAAGGGTTATTTGAGGGTCTAAATTGGCTGAGTCAAAACGCAAAGGCATCAAAGTAAAATCTGGTAGTATTCCGTTCTTTTTAAGAAAAAAAGAGATAAACGGACATGGGCTGGACCTGTTGGTATATTACGTTCTAAAATTTTTTAAGTTGGTGATGTATGTAACTATACATTGCTAGTGTAGCTTCTCATCATGTATTATTAGAAATTCTAGATATTTTTGGGAACCATTTCTGGTACGATACTTGTAACCATAGTTTTTTTTTTCTAAGAATGAATCACAATCATTTCAACCATTTTCAATTCACCAATCCGATCTTCTTAATAGTTTTGAGAAATGACGTTTTTATGTATCGTGCATTTCAAGAAAAAAAATCGTATATTGTGGTGGTGGTGGTAAATATTATTGTATTATTTTTTATAATGCTTACATTTATATATAAACAATTAACTTAATATTATATGACGATAATCTGTAATATTTTTCTCACGACTTATTGTCAGACTCGTTTCCTGCCGTGGAAGTTATTAGCAAATTCGATTCTGGCTTGCAAAAGTATATTATAAACTTGAATTGATATGGTGCACTTAGTGGTTCTAGTCGATTTGACAAAATCGACTTAGTTCGACTAAACTTACTATTTTTTGAAAATCGATTTAATTTGGCAATTGTCGTTGTTGAAAGATAATCAAGCAACTTATTTTTAATATCGGCTTAATTATTATGTACCGTGTAACATTAAATTACCAATAATAATGCTTATTTCTTATACCGCGATCCGATTGGCTAAATTGTAAGATTTTTTTTATAAAATAAATGAATTTTTTATTTGTGCACTGTGTAAATGCTGATCAAAATTTTTCGGCTGATAAAATTTCGCAACAAAGAGTAAAGTTATTACTTGTTATGGCTATTATCAAAAATCCTGGGACAACTGAAAAATTGTTTTCTCATGTTAGCTGAAGTCAGTAACTTATTGATCCTGACTTAGAAACTTGTCGATTCGGTCAGCAATTTTTTCAGTTGCCCCAGGATTTATGATGGTAGTCGTAAATGATTTGGTATTCGACCAGCCGATTTTTTAAAAAAATCTACCGACCCTAATAACCAATAAAAATTTAGAACCAAAATGCAGTACAAATTCTCATATATTAAAGTTTGTACAAATAGGGTTTACTTTATCTTTTGGAAAATTTAATGTTTTAAACTGCCACCATTTAAAAAGTTAGTTCCCAATCAGTAAGGTTTGGGCAATTAAGATTTGAACTTTAAGGAATTATCACTTGTGGATAATTGATCCATACTTTTACTACCTAGTTAACCTAACATTTCATTTAACCAGTTCAATCGAATCTTTTCGGCTTAGGTGACTACTAATTATTGTCTAATTTTTATCGTACCAAATTTACTAATATTAGTCAAACATCATGTGACCATAGATCGTTGCCCAAAATAAATATATATATATAATTATATAAATACAAGTTATAAAAATCATTTGTTCTTAATATGTCTCAGACAGATGAATCTCCTACAACACTGTCAAAGACGCCAACTTATGAATATTATGGATTTGTACTTTATTTATTATCATTCATAGCATTCGGTGAGACATATGAATGTACATTAAGTCTTCTTCCTGAATTGACTAACATGTGATTTTAATCTTTATAATACAGCAATATATTTATTGTGGGCGTATTTACCTAAAGAGGTTTTAGAATCATTGGGGATCACTTACTATCCAGATAGGCGAGTGTAATATTTATTTTTGCGAATTTTATTTTTTCTATTGTAATAATTCATTGTATTTTAGATATTGGGCGCTTGCATTACCTGTATGGTCCTTTGTCCTGGTGCTTTTCATTTTTGTCGCATTTATTTCAATAAATTTTTTGAACACTGCACCACTCGATTCATTTAACACAATAACAGGTTTTAATGACATTTAATTCAAAATTTTCATTGCAATTATAGCAATTACAAATGGTATACTTTAAATTTCTTTTATTATTTCTAGATGATAGTGCTAATGTAGGACAAAATTTATCACAACTATCGAAAATCACCGATGACTTTGTACCAGAGCTGCACGATATACCTATCGGTATAGTAAATGCGTGTTTGTATCAGAATACAGATTTATAAGAAAGGTATTATGTAATCAACACCTTAAATACAATATATATATGGATAGATAATAGTTAGGCTGATTGACAATAGTAATTATTAGTTTTACATATTTATGTAATAACTATTGAAATTGTAAACCATTTATCTTTATATATAGTTCATTTTGATATATTATTATATAATAATAAATATATTTTTTTATAATTAAAGGTTTATTTTTTAGCTTTTTAAATTAAAAGTAAAGTTTGAAATTTTTATAAAATAATATTATAAAAATATAAATTAATAAAATCTTTTATATTTTATTTGTTTTTTTAATTTTATTATTTTACTGTATATCGAACCAGAATGCTTTATAGATCTAAATATAAACATGATAATAAATTTGATACCGTATCTTTAGTTTTGAACTAATCCTTTGTGAAGTTTCAAGCGGAAGACTTCCATTTTAAACTTTTGAATCAGGATATTCATTTGCTATTCACATACTTCAAGAGAATCTACAGAAGATAAATGTTGGAACAGCGATCCTGCCAATTGCCCAGAAACAAGAATAATTCTCAATGCTTTAAAAAAATTAAAGCTTTGAGCCAACACCATTATATTGAATATAATCTGAAGATAGCGAAATTTCAAGTTGTCACTACAGTATAAGTAGTATAAGTGCACTCGGAATTACATCATTTCTACTTTATTTATATGATTTAAATACTTCAGTGCAGGACAGCAATATCTTTGAAAATTTGAGAAAGGATGCATATAAATTTTTTTAAGAAAATTCTCGAAACAGCCAGCATAGTTCTGAAAATCAAGAAAATGCTTCAACCTGGGATCTACTTCGCAAGTGCGGGTTTGAAAATTTTATAGAGTTAATAATAGCACTTCGCAAGAACACCACGATGACTTCATTGGATCTTGGTTCAAATAATCTTGAATCATTCAGAAGAAAAATAGTAGCGATGCACTTGGAAAGAACAGCACCCTTAGAGTTTTGATTTTAGTTCATTAGCAGATGGACTTTGCAAGAACTACATGCTGACTTTGAATTTTAAAACAATAAACTTGGATCAGTAAGAGGAGAAACATTAGTAGGTGCACTTTGCAAGACCACCGCACTGACTTTGATTTTCAATAGAGCAATCTTGGATTAGGAAGAGAAAAAGCATTAGCAAGTGTACTTTACAAAACCACCGCGCTAACTTCTTTGAATCTTCGAAAAAACAATCTTGGAAAAAGAAAAAGCAAGAAATTCATGCTAACTTTTTTAAAAACAATCTTGGATCAGAAGAAAAAAAAGTATTGGCAAATGCACTTTGAAAGAACATCATACTAATTTCTTTGTTATTTTTTATTAATATATTAAAAATAATAAATAAATAAATAAATATATACTATATATATATAATTATACAAATTTATAATTAATTTTAGCTAAGTTTTAAACATTTATAAAATTAATTTGGATATAATATTACAATATTATTCATAGGTATCCATTTGGCTAGTATATTAAATTTAATACAAATAAAAAACATTATTTTGAATTAATTATTTAACTAAATTTGATTAAATTTTGGTAAAATATGAGGGCTTACCCCCTTCTCCCACATAAGCTTCAATATAATTGGCCAATTTAAAAAGACCAATTTTCTTTATATAACATAAGATATTGATATAGTACATGCTCAACTCCTCCACCCCCTAAAAAATTACATAATTAATGTCAATGCCTTTATTAGAAACTATCTATTAATATACTAACTAAGCCAATGCAGATTTGGTTAGTAAAAAGATAAAATTCTAATATAGTATGTTATACATAGATATTTTATAAATAATTTTTTTTTTCGGTATTAAGGTGACCTCTTTGTCAATGGCAATTTATTATCATTAAGTATTATTTCAGTTACAACAAAAGTACATATAGCCACACATGCACTTTTGGTATCTAATTTAAGTAGCTTGCTCAAAGTAGTAGTGCTATGCTAAAGGTTCTATACTATTAGTTATACTTGCACTCCACTATGTGGAGCACCTATTTAAACCATGTAGGACTTAAGACCCAGGTATAATCTTATTATGTGTACCAGGGTATTATAGATCTATATGATATTACTAGATTAATAGCCAGACTTAGGATAGGACTATATATCTTTATTTATTCTTAAAATAAACTTGTCAGAATGATACATTTCTATATATGTATTTACTTAGACTTCAGTAACTTATATTATAACTTAACCCATGCACTTGGGTCAGAGCTAACCATTGAATCCTTACTATTACCTACTTCTACCCTTTTAAGATTCACAAATATCTATACTACATTTTATTACTTTTCACATCTTACTCCTTTTGGTATTATTATTCTTCTAATCTAGTTGGCCTAAAAGGATTGGTCTGCCCAGACCCAAGTTTCCCAAACTCAAGTTTGAAGGTCTCCCAATTCTTGGTCCACAATTTTATAACATGTAACCTTTTGCTCTAAATAACCTAGTGGCCTAGTTAGTAGATTCCTCTTGTCTATAAGATCTTTGTCATACAACTTCTTCAATTTTTGGGATTTAATCAAATCTGTCCTGTAGTACTAGGTAGCATCTAGTTAAAACAATTTGCTATTTTTTTAATTGGGGTTTGCCAAGCCAGTTTTGGTTTTCTTAGGCTACTGTGTGTAGGTCTTTAATATATGTTGATTCTAAATAACTTATCATAGATTTGTACTACCTATACTGGTTTGTATTCCTTTATGCAATAACAGTAGTAGAATAGTGAGCTTTTTAGGTATACGCTTGGTGTATTTTTGGTTAAATTTAGTCTATTTCTATAGATTTTAAACTTTTATCATATTCTCAATAACTTTCTTATAAGGATATATAAAACGATTTTTTTAACCAAAATACACCAATTTAACCAAAATATATGCCCTCTTATTTGATTACTAAATTGCTTTCTGTCACAGAGGAGCATAGCAACTCCGGATGCGAAGCGTAGCAGAGCATAGTTATCATATTTGATTACTAAATTGCTTTCTGACATGGGGAGCATAGTTATCATATTTGATTGCTAAATTGCTTTCTGTCACGGAAGAGCATAGCGACTCCAGATGCGAAGCGTAGCAGAGCATAGTTATCTATTTAGTTTACATTTAGCATTCTGTTACTATAAACATTAGTTTCTTTTTAGGTACAACTCGGTAATTTTTTGGATAAATTTAGTTTATCTGATTACTAAAAAGTTTTTTGTCTCGGAGGAGTATAGCAACTCCGGATGCAAAGCGTAGCGAAGCATAGTTATCTATTTAGTTAACAATTAGCTTTTTATTACTGCGAAGTAAAGCAGAGCAGTAGTGTTATTTAAGTTTTCTAATGATAAAAAAAATAGTAAAAAGGATAAATAAATTTTTAGAACAATACGATCTGCCCTGCAATAAAAAATTTAACCAAACTTTTAATAAAGGAAATTAATGAATAGCTATATATTTGCATTGTCAAAAGTAATTATAGAATGGCTATTTTCTATACTATATGCTTTTTCACGAAGTCTTTGATAATAGGATGTAACATAATATCCTCTCATATGAATTTTGCATCGTCCACAAGCAGAAGCAGTTGGTTTCCCACAATCAGTACAAGGAACACGTTTTTTTGACTTATAATGAAGACGACACCCCTCAGGACGTGTACACAAAGCACTACAAATCTTACTAGAATTATGTATATATTGACACGTATATTTACCGATCATATTTGATTAGGATAAATAATTAATTAAAGTAAAGCTTTTTATAAAGTAATATATAATACTTTTTATACACAATGGTTAAAAATACTATTTGCGATAGATGTAGTTCAAAACTTTCTACATATCAGAAGTATCAACAACATTTAAACCGAACAAATCCCTGTCGACCTAAAAATCCACCTATTCAAACCCCTCCTAAAAACCCAACTCCAACTCCTGAAGGTAATCTCATATCGTTTGATGAAAACCCACCAACACTTCAGCCGAGAGAGGCAAGTGCGCCGGCAGTCGACCCCCGGATAAGAGAATCAGAAATAAGTCAAAGACTCGAAGCTCAACATCCTCGATACTCTGCATCATCTAGTTCAAAGCAAAATAGCATGAGTTACCAAGATAAAACCATCTTAATTCATAAAAATATAGCAAATA